CAGTAGCTTGCCGGGCTGTCCGGGAGGGATGGAGGAATTGAACCCGGTTCAGCCGCGTGCAAGGCAAATGCCCTACCTACTGTGCTATCACTCCAGCACTATTGAAGTTAGTTTTACTAAAAAGCAACCCTTTGGTACTTAATTATGTTTCTTTTTATAGAATGCTAAGTTTTAGTGCCTGTATCTTGTAGCTGTAAGGTCTGTATATGCTTTATGGAAATCCATCTGCTGAATTTTATTTTTTGAAAATAAGACAAATCGAAGAATCATCTAGGATTCTGAATTAGAGCTATAAAATATGTGATATTTATTCCTTATTTAACAACCACTTGTTGTTGTACCCTTTTGGACCTGAGACTGTTCCTTGACTGGCACACATGCTGTACAAATGTGGCATTTCTCTCTTTGTATAGCTTCCATTCTAGTGGGAGTGCAGTTACTGAATAAGCAGCGGTATACATGAGATAATATAAACTAATCTTAAAGTGCTTTAGGGAAGAAGCATGTGGCAAGGACTCCCAAACCAAAGAAGACTCCTCTCATCTTAAAAACACGTTATAGGTGTTATGCTTTAGTTTCACTTTGTGTTCAGGTAGCTTGAGCGTTTGAAGAACACAGGCGTTAGGATAAATGTGATGTCACATACAGGGACCACCTTTAAATTTCTTTGCGGCACTAATGTATGATCTTAGTTTTGGAGGTTGAGAAGGCACTAGCTATATGAAGATCTGAGGCTGTTGCCAGCATAGCAGAGCCTCCTGAAATGGGGCATACATTTGGGGAACAGAGAGAAGCCACAGTAGCTATAGTTATAGAGCACAAAGACAAAAAGTTAGCGCTCAGAAAGGGCAGTTGTGCAGTGCTTAGCTGGGCCTGGTTGAAGTGCTTGGGTTTTTTTTTTTTTTAATCACTGTGAGATACACAGTTACAAAGCTGTGCATGACTGGTTTCAGTCATACAATATCCCAGTACCATTCCTCCACCAGTGTACATTTCCACCCCCAGGTGAAGAAAAGGTTATCATGTTTGTTCCTTTATCTACTTTCAGCAGACAGTTCTTATCCAGAGCGATCATTTTCTACTATCATTGTCATAGTGGCCCCTTCTCTATCCCAACTGCCCTTCCCACCTCTTGAGGCGGGCTTCCAACCATGGACCAGTCCTTCTGTCCCTTGCTTCTATTGTCCTTGGGTATTACTCTCATACCATGATTTGCTTTTATTTTAAATACTACTTGAGGGTGTTGGAAGGTTTCCAGTAAAGAAACATGGTAAGATTTGATTTATGAATTTTATTTCTTGTTGACTGTACTTGGGAGTGGGCTGTCAGAAGGAAACTCAGGCAATGACTCCTGGTTGATACAGGCCAGCCTGGCCTGCAGGGATTAAGAAGTGGGACTCAATAGAGTGATCCATTGGGCAGTAAGGAACTGAGAACTCTGGGGATGAGGTCTAGGTTTTGGCTGAAACATTTGGGTGGTGGGTACTGTGTCTCACTGAGATGAAACCCTGAGGGAAGAGCAGTAATTCCATTTAGGTTTGTTTGATTTGAGAATCCGGTTAGATCCCCTTGAGAAATCTAGAGGACATTGATATGTGAGACTAGAGCTTGCAGCAGAGGTGAAGAGTTAATGGAGAATTGGTGGGGGAGGGGAGCTTTAGGACACAAGATAGAAATCAGAGGAACATCCAGCAGAGATTTGAAATAGCCTCGTGGTAGCTGCAGGTATGTGTGGAGAGTTAGGCCAGTTCTTTTCTGTAGGTATTGTTCTGATTATTGTGATCATCCTCCTGTCATTGTGTGTTTCCTTCATTTCACACATCCCATGAGCGGGCAGCATGTACCACAACCAGTGGTTCACACTTGGGCTCTGGCTTAATTAACGCAGAATTGCAGCTTTGTTGTCATCATGTTAGTTAATTCAAGAAAACTTGAACTAAATGTTGTGCTAGATGTAGGGAACATAGGATGTTTGAGATGAACTGGGAATTCTGTGGGGGTCGATAGATCTTTCATCAGAACTGAGTCAGGATTTCCCCAGGAAGACCAGAGTGTAGAACACTTGATGACGGGGAAGAGGAGGAGGAGTGTGGTAGTAGAGGCTCTGCTGTAGTCTCACTGTGTGCTGGGGCTGTCTGAGCTGTCCTGTGGGGGTGTGGGGGCAGAGGCTCTGCTGTAGTCTCACTGTGTGCTGGGGCTGTCTGAGCTGTCTGTTGGGAGTGTGGAGGAACAGGCTAGTCGACTATGCTGCAGAGAAAACAATAGTTTGCTGCAGTTTGTGTGGATAGAAAACAAGTAAATCCACTCTAGGAACTGGGGATTTCTGCAGAAGGCATTTGCGGATTCTTGGCATGACTCTGTAGCTTATAGTAATCGTAATTTTTGTGGGGGAGGGTGGACCTCCCAAGCACTATTCATAAGATCCAGAGGCTCCTCCTAGTGATTCTGTCAGCCGGGCCAGTGGTTCAATGTGAGCACAGTAGGATGCAGTGCTTCTCAGGCTCTCAGTGCTGGGGATAACTGGACCATTCCAGCAGTACTGAGGAGCCTCCAGCCCAGCTGGTGGTGCTTGGAGTTCTGGGGATACACTCATGATGCATAGGGGATCAGGTAGTCCCAGGAATCCACCCATAGTTGGCTTCATGCAAGCAATGACTATCCTTAACCCCAGTACTATCACTCCATCCTCAAAGAACTATATAGTCACATGGCTTTCACTGTTGTCTGCTTTTCCATATGTAAATTCTTTTATTATGAAGAATTTTTACTGCTCTGTACTGTTTTATTTTAGAGGAGGAAGTATACTGTGATTTATTTTACTTTTTTAAAATTTGCACGTTTTATTGTTTTTTATAAAGTTGTTCATGATGATTTGTTACAATCAGTATTCCAGCACCAATCCCACCACCATTGCATCTTCCCATCACCATTATTTCCAATTTTCCCAACCACCCCTCAAGCCTGCTCTTATAGCAGGTCCTGGATAATTTATTTTATATTGCTTGTTATATATAGTTTGCTAAAAAATGATAAAAAAATGTTTCATTTAAAGAAAGTATGTAAAGATTGTTGTATTTCATCATGGAACCATTAAATGCTTGTATAAAAGATTTACTAACATGTTACAAATTTAAGCCTTATGTGTGTACATTATGCTAATTGAGATTGCCTGCTACCTGCTTTACAACCCATCCAATGTGGTGTGCTACTCCTGGTTTATCAGTGCTGTACAGTTTGAGATGGAGCTCCAGGAAGTCCACAATTTTAAATAGGTTAATACAGCTGGAGTTAAGTTTTTAACTGGATGGTGACTTTGATTGCTCTGGACAACTCAGCTTGGCACAGAGTTCAGGAACATTGCTGTAACTTGTTGATCTCTTTTGAGATTTATTTATGTGTCTCTGGATCATGGCAAGTTAATGAGCTTACTTGGCGCCCAAGGTGGTTCATGGGTGTGACTGCCAGGGCTTCTGGAAGTTCAGTGAGACGGGGGAGGTAGCCCATTATGCCTCCATGAAAGCCTGGAGGTCACAGTCACAAAACCTGCATACCTGAGTTTTTCAACAGATTCATTTTTGGATGAAATTGATCCAGAGGCTTTTCCCGAGCAGTGGAGTTCAGCCATGAGCATGGCAACAATTGTGGAGTGTGGAGGTTTTCAGGGTTCCGTTTGTTGCATGGTGGGCTCCCCTACCTCCACTCCAGGGTGTCCCAGATGACTCAGACTGGCGTGGGGCCTGGAAGAATCTCTGCTACTTGTTGATCTTTTTTGAGATTTTTTTATGAGTCTCTGGATCACGGCCTCATTTAATATTAAAAGCACCTTACATGTCTTATTTTAAGCAACCAAGGCAGATTTTTGTGTTAAATTCCTTTGTAGTTATCAGAGGAAAGCACTCTTCAGAATTCATTATTGTTAACTTTATAGTATTGAACATGGTAATGAACATCACAATTTTTCAGAATTTGGGTCTCCAAAGTATTTGACACCATTATGTTAGGAATTGAATCACAACTCTTTATTTTCCCCTTGAGTACTCCTTGTAGAATTTTATGGAAGTTGTTTTTAATTTGTCTGAGGTTACCAGTGTATCTTTCAAAAGTCAAGTCACCTTAGTCAAGATTTCCTTGTAAATGGTTTAGTCAAGCTCCTTTTGCTGAGGAACACATTCAAAGCCATGTGTCCACAGTGCACAGCTACTCTGACTTGATTGTGAGGAGTAGCTGGGGTTTTTGGAAGATGTGTCTGGGACAACTTGACTCTCGAAGGAATTCACTGAGTTACCTGTAGGACTTCCTTTAATACCTGCAGCTCCTAGTTTTGCAGAATTGTTGTGACTTGAAGAAATACTGCTCCAGATAATGCTAACATGTGGGGCCCAGTGCATTCAAACAGGAGTGGCACAGGTCATTTGAAGTTGGAGGGAAGATAGTGATTATTGGCCTGTGTACAAATGAGTGTGTGGTGTGGGCAGTTTGTGCATCTGGAGTGGCCTTTTCTTTTCATGCAGAGCAAGTTTTGACAATAAGGAGGATAGGAGAGTTTGGAACATGTATGGCTTCACCAAGGTTTTCAGGTGGAAAACCCGTGCTTTCAGATTTACAGCCCAATCCCTCTTTGTGACTTATGTCAAAAACTTTCAAGTGTCCACAAACTTTTATTTCTTTATTTTCAAGAAAATAAAGGGACAAAAAATCTTCATGTCCCTCCATGACTGTACCTTATATTCTCCCTGTAGTTGGTGTGTAAGTGTTGAGCTCCGGAAGCCGGAGACATCAGTCTGCCTCCATCCCAACCCTGCCTGTGGACGAGCTGCGGCAGGCACAGCCGAGAACTCGCTTAGGTGGAAACCGTTGGATGGGAATACTGTTGTATTTGCTTTGTTTGTCTTATTAGAGGATAAAGCTAGTTTTAATTTTTCCTTTATTAAAAGGTGGTTTGTGAATTTTGGTAATTGTACAAGAGTAAGTGTCTAAATGGACTTTTTTTTCCTTTTCAGATAATGTGGATTCAAGTGATCTTAAGCAGTTTTTTGAGACCAACTATTCTCAGATATATTTCATCTTCTATGAAAATTTTATAACACTGGAAAATAGTTTGAAATTAAAAGGTAAGCATTTCTACACATTCTCTCACCCTGTCAGTTTTTATTTAGGCACTTTAGTACTTTTACTAATAGGATTTTAGGCACACGCCCATCACTGCAGTCTCCGCACTTTCCCACCAGAGTCTCCAGACCACGCCCATCCTTTTGGCTGACTGTTCTGAGTCCACTTCGCAGAGTCTGTTGCCATTGTCCACTTGCTCTTCTCTTCCTTACAAACTTACTAAGATATAAGTTCTTTATTTCCAGCATTTGAGATGCATCATTCTTATTTGTACCACTCTTTTTGTTTGACTTCACTCAGCCAGATACCCTCTACTTTATCCACGTTACAGCCAATTTCATGATTTCATTTTTTCTTGTAGCAGAATATTATTCCACTTTCTACACATTTTATGTATCAAAATAGTTTTAGATACTTGGGAAGTTTTAGAATTTGTTGCACATTTTAATAGATTCATACATTTTATTTTTAATTTATTTTTTTATTAAACCTCTATAAGATATGTAGTTATAAATTTGCTCATTATTGGGTTTCAGTCATACAATGTTCCAACACCCGTCCCTTCACCAGTGTACATTTCCACCACCAGTTTCCAGTTTCCCTCCTTCCACCTCTCATCCTCAGTCTGCCTTCACAGTAGGCCCTTTCTGCTTCCCCCTCCCCCCTCCTCTTTCCTTTTGGGCATTATGGTTTGCAGTACACAGGTACTGAAGGGTTATCATGTGTATCCCTTTATCAGCACTCAGTTCTTGTCCAGTGACCATTTCCAACTATCATTGTCATAGTGATCCCTTCTCTGTCCTAACTGCCCTCCCTCCTACCTTTGTCGCAAGCTTCCTACTGTGGACCAGTCCTCCTGTCCCTTGTTTTTACTATGGGTTTTTCTTTTATGATAGGTTTTAGTAAAGCCATGACCTGCTTTACTGAACAATGGCCTGGCTGACAGCTTTGTTTCCCTTGAGTTTTATAATTGAGCAACAGTAGCTGGAGAGAAGAAAGGAGAAGAAAGCTAAAGAAAACCTGAGTCCTAGGGCCCTGGAGTGCAATCTAGTGGGTAGAGCATTTGCACACTACTGACCCAGGTTCAACCCAGGTTTGATCCTTCGTATACCATAGGGTCCCTGAATCTGTCAGGTATGATCTCTGAGTTCAGTGGGGTGCAACCCAAAACCAAAGGGAGGGAAGAAGAAAGTCTGAGTTCCAAAGGAATAATATATTTTAAAAGAAATATTCAGATATTTTATATATTTTAAATATTCAAATATTTAGATATTTCTTACGCACACTATAAGAAATATTCAGATTCCATTAAAGGATTTGAAATGGAAAGTGAAGTGTCCATTTTGTCCACATCCTCACCTCTTTTCTCCAGACACAATTTCTGTTAATAGTTTTTTAAAACTTTCCTTTTTGTTTTTCCATGTTATTAATATATTTATATGTTTATGATATGCCCACATATATAAAATATTCTTTGAAAATTAAGCCAGAAGATTTTACATATTGTGCACATATATACTGAGCTACTCTTCGCTCAGTGCTTGGAGGACCATGAGTGCGCAGGATTAAAACTGGGACTCTTGCATGCAAAGCATGTTGTGTAGCCCTTTGAAATCTCTCCCTGGCCAAGAATCACAGAGTTTTAAGGTTGAAAGGAGATCAAGAAATTAGTTCATTCATTGATTGTCCTCATTTTAGAGTTTTGAAAACTCTGTTAGAAAGGTTATATTACTCACCTAAAGTCACACAGATTATTATTACTATTTAGCATATTTAGAGTCAATCGCAATTCCTTGTTTAGGTTAATATTCTGATCAGTGGTTCTTAAAAATCAGTATCTTGAACTAGCAGCCTGACATACCTGTATAAATTAACTTACGAACTTATTAAGTCAGTAGGTGGAACTTGTCAGTGGAATAGAATTGAAAATCCTGAAGTAATTCCTGAGATGCACAGACAGTTAGTTGATGATAAAGGACCAAGGTTCGTTAAATGGAGCAAGGAAAGCCTCCTTAACAAGTGGCGCTGAGTAAACTGGCTAGCTACATGCAAAAAAGTGGAGCCAGACTCTGCCTTAAACTTCTATGCCAAGATTAATTCAAAGTGGATTAAAGGCCTTGATACTTGATTAGAATCCATAAACTACATTGAGGATACAGAGACATAACTCTCATGAGTGACCTTAGAGGAATTGCCAGTAATTTGATTCTATTGACAAAGAAAACAGTAACAGCAATAATCAAATAATACTATATTAGACTGAAATGTTTTTGCAATCTGAAAGAAACTATTGGCTCAAATCAAAAGATACCCTATTGAATCAGAGACTGTATTTGCCTACATGAATCAGAGAAAGAGCTAATATCCAAGATAGTCAAAACACTCACAAAACTTAAGAACAATACTGCAAAAAGAAAAAAAATGGGAAGGCTCGTGAGTAGTTACTGAAGATGGCTCACAGGCATATTAAAAAGTGTCATCAGTATCAACAGGGAAATGAGAATTCAAATAACAGTGCTATATCTCCTCATACTAGTGAGAATGGCCTATATAAAAAATAGCAGAAACAGTTAGCACTGGAGGGGATGTGATGAAAAAGGAACTCTTATTCACTATTTGTAGGACTGTTATCTGGTTCAACCTTAATGGAAAACTCTAAGTGGAGATCTCAAAATATTAAAAATATAACTTCCATATGACCCAGAGATTCCACTCCTTGTCATATATTCCAGGAATGCAAAAACACTTTATGTATCGAAGCACTATTTAGAATAATCAAGGTCTGAAAATGACCCAAGGGCCCTTCAGTAGATGAATGGATAAAGAAAGTGTGGTATATGTATTCAGTGGAATCCTTCTCAGTTCTAAGAAATTCTGAAATCTTGCATTTTGCTACAATTTAGATGGAGTTGGATGTCTTGCAGAGCAACATGAGTCAGAAGGAGAGAGAGAAATATGATGTCACTCCTCTGTGGATTATTAAGAAACAAAGCTAGGGTATATATAATGGCCAATTAAAAAAAATAACCCTGAGCTATTGCCAGCAGAGCGGAGACTGCCAACTGCAGGGGTAGTGGGGGTGGCGAGGCCTCGGCAGTGGCAGAGGGACATTGGCACCCTGATGGTGGTGGCTGTACAGTGTCGTGAATGTTGATATTTCAATAAAAATCTTTTTTTAATTGAATAAGTAAATGAGGAGGTTGTCACAGATTACTGAAGAAATGTTATATAAGTATGTAGCCAGGTCAGGGATTCGGTGGAGGTGGCATGTCGACCCTTGATTCCTTCTGTACAGAGTGGAGGCGGCTATCCAGTGTGGCAGGCAGGGAGCACTGTGGGGTGAGCACTGGGGAGGTGCACAGCTCAGTTCCCCTGACGCTCCAGGCAGTTGTCAGTTTGGATATATGGATCCAACATGCCAGCAAGGTTATTTTTTTTCCCATTAAAGAATAGCTTTTCATTTTATTCTGTGACTTATAAATCAACATAAATTTGTACTTGAAAATGTTTTCCCAGGGCTGGCGAGATAACTCAGTGGCATAGAACACATATGTTGCATGTTGGAGGTTTGATCCCCAAAACAGTGTATTCTCCTGAGCACAGACAGGAGAACCGCCAGGTTCTGAGCTGGGTATATCCCCATGAGCACTGGTGGGTGTAGCCCCAAACAACCCTTCAAAATGATTTTGTATGTTAGTGTTTATTTCTAATATGGAATGATCTAATTTTTCTCTTGTATCTCAGCTCTGTTCCATTTTACTTAAATTCACAAGTGTGTGATGGATAAGAGTATGATATTATGTACAATCAAAACAGCAAAGAAAACAAATTATACCCCAGTTTTTAAAAAAAATGACCTAAAAATCCTGTTTTTAAATAGTCTGCCTTCCCTCCTTTTCCCCACTTTCAGAAAAATGCAGCTGTTCAAGACTGTATCAGTTAATTTGTGTAATATTAACAAATTACATGACCCAAACCGAATGCCTTAAAACAGCAACCAGTAATTTAACTTCTGTTTTTCTGCATCTTTTGGGTAGTTTTGGTTTGTGTACCCTGATGTTTCTGACACCAGCTAGTGGCTGATAGTCTCATTCCTACTCTTGCACTGGGCAAGCTATTGACCAGGACACATGATTTCTTTTCCATGTGGTCCTTCTCTGCCAGTAGGCAGGCTTACTTCCTTCATTTGAGGTCCTCGGGTTCTAATTCAGCAGCTGGTTAAGGCTTTTCAAGCTTTTGCTTGTTACTACACATTTGTTAATGTCTGTTGGCCAAAGCAATCACATGGAATCTCAGATAAAAGAGATAGGCTTTTTCTTTTTCTTTTCCTTTTTTTTTGGGGGGGGGGGGGGTTGGTGGGATGGAGTGGTGGGGCACGTCAGAAATGCATAGCATTTATTTATGCCTTGCTCTCTGCTCAGTAATCATTCTTAGCAGTTCCAGGGGACCTAATGTAGTGCCAGGGATTGAACCCAGGTTGGCTGTGTGCAAGTACGCCTTGCCTTCCATACTCTAGCCTTGAAAAATAGACATTTCTTGATAAAAGGAGAAAATATTCCATTTTTCCAAAGAATCAATAGAGATATGGTGAGATCTTGAAATTTCTTGCTTTTAGTATAGCTTATTTTTCAGTTGTAATTCAGGGAAGGGAACAAAAAAATAAAGGAAATGTATACTAGAAATAGTGGAATCATCTTGGGATAATTAGATTTTCAGTTTATCAGGTCCAAATTTTAGATATTAAATCAACTTTCAGAATATATCCAGAATCATTGCCTTCATCTCAGGGGGCATTGTTGCTCCCATTATTTGCACCTGGATTATTGCTGTAACAATAATCGGAAATAGAATCCTCCCTAATCTCCCTTTCATGTTTCTACCCCATTTCTTCAGCCTCCCCTTGAAAGAGCAGCTGGAGTCATGCTTTTTCAGATGTGTGCCAAACCACGATATTGCAGAACTCCTAACCTCTGTGCCCTCCCATTCCTGAAGCCACACACAGTGGCCTCAGGCCCCTTTCCCACCTACTTTGTTCGGTGCTCTCTGACCTTACCTACTCATGGCCCCCCACTTGCCCTAGCCCTAGTGCTTGCTGCATCCTGATCGTGCCATACTTGCTCAGTTAAAGAACTTCACAGTCTGTGCCACTAACTTGAACATCCCCCAGATTTCTGCATTGCTTAATTCCTTAACCCACCTTTATTTGGCATTGATCTGTCTTTCCTCTTTCCTTTTTAAAACTCATTTATATATTGTATATACCTTTTCCTCACAGAATGTACATGTCTTAATGGCGAGTATTATTGTGTTCACTCTAGGTCTTGGGGTAGCATCTGATACAGAGATATTCTTTAATATTTGTTTTATGAAAGAATGATACTTTTTATAATTGGGGCATTAAGTTGTATAAGGGGGTTATAATTTATAACTCACTGCTCGTATTCATAAATGAAGTTTTATTGGACACCACAATACACAGTAGTTTGTGTATTGTCTGTTTTAAACTATAACAGAACTGTGTGTTTTTGTGAAAGATGTGCTATCTAGCCCTTGTGAATGAGATGATATATGTTCAGCACTTTGTGTGGTACTTGGTGCATGAAGACTGGACTATAAGTGGCAATTGCTACATAGTGTTATCCTCATCCTCTTCCTCCTCCTCAAAAGCAGAGTGAAATTGTCGACATACTTATTCTATGATTATTGCTTTATTCTTACCACAAAGCTAGAATGCTATTTATTCTTTCATAAATTGAGTTCATAAACAACTGAGAAATGCTACATTACTTGCCACAGGTTAATAAACTAAAAGCATGAAAGATGTGTTTAAAATCATAGCAAGGAGAGAGTATGCTCAATGTAGACCTATGATCTCTGGCTTAGATGTCCATATGCCTCTCTAATGTGAGCTTTGTAGTTCTAGGAATTTTGGGGAGGGGGGCGATGAGGGGGCACAGCTGTCTGTGCTCAGGGCTTACTTGTGGCTTTGTGCTTAGGAGTCACTCCTGGTGGTACTCAAGGGATAATATATAATACCAGGATCAAACCTGGTCAACCATATTCAAGACAAGATCTTTTATGCCTGTATTATCTCTCCAGCTCCTGCTTCCAGAAATTTTTAAAAAGTAAATAATTCATGTTGATCTGTAAATGTTATATAATATCATTTAATATGACTTCTGATATTCTAGATTATGTATTATTATAACTAATTTTTAAAAACTATGTTCCAGGGAATAATAAGTCTCAGCGGGAGGAGCTGGACTCCATCCTCTTTCTTTTTGAAGTAAGTTCTATTAATTCACTTAGCTTTTAAGATTCTTATAAAAATATGCTATTTTAGATACTACTCTTGAACACAAAAGTAATGAACATGTCCAGTCTTCCATTCTTCCCTGCCTAACTCCCTTCTTCCCTCTCTTTTCTTCCTCCCTCTTCTCCTTCCCTCCCTCCTTCCTATTTTTGTGATATTGCAAAGAGTATTCTTGTGATCTATTTTTCTTTAACTTGTGGAAAAAATTTTTCCATATGGATATCAAGATATGAAATTATTTTACATACTAATATATATTGCCAATTATTCTTCAAAAATGTTATATAAACAGGTTAAACCATACATATGTGTATGTATATTTATGCTGTATAAATTTTCTTAACTGACATTGGTTACTTTGGGCTTTTTTTTTTCATTTTTATTTTTGTGGCTGTGCATTACAGTACACAGGGCTTACTCCTGACTTTGTCCTCAGGGGTGTCACTTCTGGCGGTACTCAGGGACCGTATGTGGTGGTGGCATCAAATCAGTCAGCTGCTTGCAAGGCCAGCGCTACCATCATATGAGATTGTGATCTTTGATTGTGTCAGTTGTCCATGTTTATTGCTATTACATTTTCTTCAGAACTGAAACAATATTTGGCTTTTGAGTTACTAAAGTCTTTCCTGTCAGATTTATCAGACAAGTGGCTGGATTACTGATATAGGAGAAATACGCTAAGGATAGATTTGTAAATTCTGAAAGTTTAATGTTGGCTAGAATTGACTCATTTAAAGAGACGTTCGCTTCGTTGCTAGGAAGTTAGCTTCATGAACATAAAGGAGAGGCTTAATGTGCAGTTACTGGAGAGTTGCCTGGACAAGGAATCCAGAGGAGGAGGGCTCCCCATGTGTTTTGGATTTGTAGAATGAGACAGATACGGAAGAGCTCTAGCCTTGACATTGACTCATGGCCGGTGCTCGATACTGTGGTCCTTCTTTCTCTCCCCCGAGGTCAGTGCTCCTTGTCTTTAGTTTAGACATTGATTCACTGAATATTTTATGGTGGATATTGTGTTTGCAAGGGCTACCCTTCTATGAGGGTAGCAGAGGACTTGCTTTTAACAAGAGCTCTAAATTAAGTCCATTGCTTATTTATAGACCATCATTTATTTGAACAAGTCCATTAATTTATATAGTCATTGATCCATTTACCAAAGAATCTATCATGTTGGTGCAAGTTTTGAAACATAATGATAAACCTATACCCTTGATACTTTGCCCTATTTCATATTAGAGCTAGAGCCTCCTTAAAAAGTGGGTCCTGTTTCTTTTTTCTCCTTTGTTTTAATTCATATTCCACATTATTGATTGATTTTATTTTTTAATTTATTTATTTATTGAATCACCATGGGAAAAGTTACAAAGCTTTCAGGTTTAGGTCTCAGTCATGCAAATATCAAGCACATTTCCCTTTACCAAAACTTATTTTTTACCATGAAGAACCCCAATAAAACTCCACCCCCCACCCCTCCCAGTCCCTGTGGGGCAGATGAATTCTAGTGAACACTCTATCTGCTTTGATTAGATTCATTGTTTCAATAAAAGATTCACCCTATTATTTAGAGTTTACCGCCCCCCACCCCCGAATCAGACATGCTGACAAAGCATTGTGAAGTGATTTGCTTTCTACAGCTGGGTTCAAGAATTATATGTTGGTTTTGGATTTCTGCTATTTTACTTATTGACCCTGGAAGTATTTCTACTGAAAGTCAGATAGTTAAGAAACTGGTTTCTGTGCTCTGGAGCTGTGGCCGTGCTGGAGAGCCGCTAGTGGGGGGCAACTGGTGGCCTTGGTAGGGCGTGAAGGACGGACCGAAACGCCCCCCTTCCCATGAGGTTTTAGTCGCCCCCAGTCCCCCGGCTCATACCTGCTGTCCACAAGGCTCCCATGCAGCCGCCATCTTTCTTTCCAGAGAGGAGAAGGCGACTGGGGCAACACCCTTTCCCCTCCGGACAGACCTGATGGCCTGGATTAACGCATAGTCCGTTCACTTTTCTGCTCCAAGCTGCCAGGTTCTGCATTAAGTCCTTGTGCTTCTGGGGCCGTGGCCGTGCTGGAGAGCCGCTCGCGGGGGGCGACTGGTGACCTCGGTAGGGCGTGAAGGACGGACCGGAACGCCCCCCTTCCCATGAGGTTTTAGTCGTCCCCACACCCCCGGCTCATACCTGCTGTCCACAAGGCTCCCATGTGGCCGCCATCTTTCTTTCCAGAGGGAGGAGGGCGGAAGGGACCAACACCCTTTCCCCTCCGGGCAGACATGATGGCCTGGATTAACGCATAGTCCGTTCACTTTTCTGCTCCAAGTTTCCGGGTTCTGCATTAAGTCCTTGTGCTTCTGGGGCCATGGCCGTGCTGGAGAGCCGCTCGCGGGGGGCAACTGGTGACCTTGGTAGGGCGTGAAGGACGGACCGGAACGCTCCCCTTCCCATGAGGTTTTAGTCGCCCCCACATCCCCGGCTCATACCTGCTGTCCACAAGGCTCCCATGCGGCCGCCATCTTTCTTTCCAGAGAGGAGAAGGCGACTGGGGCAACACCCTTTCCCCTCCGGACAGACCTGATGGCCTGGATTAACGCATGGTCCGTTCACTTTTCTGCTCCAAGCTGCCGGGTTCTGCATTAAGTCCTTGTGCTTCTGGGGCCGTGGCCGTGCTGGAGAGCCGCTCGCGGGGGGCAACTGGTGACCTCGGTAGGGCGTGAAGGACGGACTGGAACGCCCCCCTTCCCATGAGGTTTTAGTCGCCCCCACACCCCCGGCTCATACCTGCTGTCCACAGGCTCCCATGTGGCCGCCATCTTTCTTTCCAGAGGGAGGAGGGCGGAAATTATTGATTGATTTTTAAATTTTTAACTGTAGTTCGGGTTATTTGGTTGCAATAGAGTTAAAACATTATGGTGTTAATGTACGAAGTTTCCTCCCCCAGCCACCAGTTGAGTGTCTGTGGCCCTCCACCCTGTCCTGATCCCATTCCTCCTCTGTGCTTCAGTTTTGAAATTCCAGGCCAAGGGTCTGTCACTGTCTGATACAGTCGATTCCCTTGTTTTGTATCTCTATATTCACTAGATGACTGGCATCATCTGATATTTGTTCTCCTCCCTCTGACTACTCCCCTACATTCACTTCTTTTAAAAAATGATGTTACTGTGAACATTTGTATCTTTAAACAATGTGCAGTGTAGTTTTGTTTCACTTGGAGTATAATAAAATAGTATAATCATCTGTGACTTGCTTTTTGTATTCAATATTATTTCTAAGACTAATCCTCATATATATAATTATGTGTTAAATTTAGCTTTGATTCACTCCACTCATATTATTGGAATAAGTAGATATATGATTTATTCAGTATCTACTTTTTTTTGATGTGGGGTGCACACTCATTGGTGTTCAGGGTTTATTCCTGCTGCTGTGCACTCAGGAATCACTCCTGATGGGCCTCAGGGGACTGACTAGGGTTCCAAAGATTGAACCCTGGTTGGCTGCATGCAAGACAACCCTTCTCTTTCTACCATCTCCCAGTCTCTCAATTCTAACATTTTGTCTTTTTTTTTTTTTTTTGGCTTTTTGGGTCACACCCAGTGATGCTCAGGGGTTACTTCTGGCTTTGCACTCAGGAATTACTACTGGAGGTGCTTGGGGGACCATATGGGATGCTGGGAATTGAACCCGGGTCAGCTGCGTGCAAGGCAAACGCCCTACCCGCTGTGCTATCGCTCCAGCCCCCGACATTTTGTCTTTAGATCTTATTAGGTAGACAGATTGTGAACAGTGTCTGCTGTAAGTTAATTTTACTTAAAAGTTTTGCTTGATTCATCTGGGGAACGTAAAGTAACAAAATAGGAGACTAACACTCAAGAATAGCCGAGATAAGTACTCCATGGCTTGGAGGCCAGCCGCACATGCTAGGGGAAAAGGCAGCTCAGATAGAGAAGGGAGCACCAAATATAGGGTGTTGGGAGGTTCCTCCCAGGGTGGGAGATGCAATGAAGATTTGAATTCGTGACTGTGAATGCTGGCAAAGAATGCTTGCAAAGCTGGCATTCTAAAGCCTTGGGCTATTTCTCTACATCCTATGAGTTTAAATTTCAGTAACTGTTTTTTGTGTTTCACTGGTCTTGGTATTTATATGCATGCTGGTTGTTTTTGTTTATTTTTTAAAATTTATTTTAATGTAGGAGTACTGCTGTTTATTCAGGCATTGATTAAGCTGATTGACTTGGTCATGAACTCCATATTACTTCCTTTTTTATTCAGAATGTTAATTTTATTATTATTTTTTCCCTCTTTTTATTAATTCACTGTGAGATACAGCTACAAAGCTTTCATGTTTGAGCTTCAGTCCTACAATCATCAAACGGTTGTATGTTTGAGCTTCGGTCACACAATCTCTTCACCAGTGCACATTTTCCACCACCCAAATCCACATTATTTCCCCCCCCCACCCCCAATCCTTCCCCTGCCTGGCAGACAGTTTTCCCCATACTCATTCTGTACTTTGGTTACATTTGATATTTCGACACCAGTCCCACCACCACTCAAACCTGCTGAAAAGGCAGTTCTAGACGATTTGTTTTGTATTGCTTGTTATGAATAAAATATAATGCCCAGGAAATTCTGTGTCATTCTTTTTTGGGAACTTTAGTTTATAGTCTCTGGATCTTGGCCATTGATGAGATTACATGGTTCCGGGGGCTGTTTGTGCGTGTGACTGCCAAGCTACTGGAAAACTTGGGACCTGGGGGGAGGACACCCAGTCCCAATCCAAGTGGGCTTGGAGATCTCAGCCACCCGGTTCCTGCATATCTGGGTTTTCCTGCCAGTTCGCTCTTGAGTGAGGTTCATCCCGTCTTGGGTGAGGTCCATCCGGTCTTGGGTGAGGCTCATCTGAGCAATGTTCAGAGTGGCCTTGGGCATAGTGGCAGTTGGGTTTGGCTGCTGAGGTTCTATTTGGGGCAGAGAGGGAAACTTAAC